GAAAATGAATTATGTTGAAAGGATGGCATTTTCTGTATTAAATCACTCCATTAAAAAGCTGGCCCTGCATCCTTTTCCTTATAAACATCCAGTTGATTACATTTTATCTTCTTTGACATCCTGTTGTCCAGATGAATTTTTAGTGACTGCTGAATTAGGTGCGAATTCTATCTTGGCCATATTTCTGTTCTTTAAAAAGGCAACCAGATATTGTCAGGAGCCTCAGAAATATTAATTCTCTTAAGCAAATGCCAGTTGTATATTCAGTGTAAGAATATCTTGTAACAGGAGCCAAATTCTTGAAACAATTCAAATCTTTGCATCTTGAAAATAGTTTAGATCTTGAAAATAGTTTAGTGGTTCTCAACCTATAGTCCATGGACCTCTAGGAGGCCACAATGTTGTGACGGGGTCCACGAAGGCTTGAAGAAATGTTATTATTTAAGTCTTGAGTTATGTCTTGGTGGTTCATGGCCACAAAAAGTATTTAAATGGGGTCTGTGGTAAAGAAAAGGTTGAGACCCACTGGTTTTGATGGTGAATGTAAATACAGGTAGTCTTCGACTTAAACAAGTTCGTTTAGTGACCAAAGTTACAATGACATTGAAGAAAGTGATTTATGACCATTTTTCACACTTACGACCATTGTAACATCCCCATGGTCACGTGATCAAAATTTAGATGCTTGCCAACTGATTCATATTGATGATGGTTGCAGTGCCCCAGGGTCAAGTGATAACCTTTTGCGGCCTTCTGGCAAGCAAAGTCAGTGAGGAAGTCAAGATTCACTTAACCATTGTGTTACTAACTTAACAAGTACAGTGATTCACTTAACTGTGGCAAGAAAAGTTGTAAAATGGAACAAAATTCACTTAACAAATGTCTTACTTAGCAACAGAATTTTGGGGTTCAATTTTGGTCGTAAGTCAAGGACTACCTGTTATGCTTATGCTTACTTGTGTGTTTTTCTGCTTGTTACTCTGGGGTTATATATATCAAAGTGATCATATGCATCACTTTGTATATATGAATCTCTACCTTTCAGGCTAGCTAATTGTTCACAAAATTGTTATGAGATTCCCTCTGTGGGAGTTAGGGCCATAAATAAATATGATTTCATCAAAAATATATTTGACTGAGTAAATTGGCTTTTACTCAAAAAAATTTACCGTTCCCCAGGAAGGGGAACAAGAGAAGACGTGTCAATAAGCAGAAACATTTGAGAGCTTTACTACTTTTCCTTGGAGTGAGGCATTGCTCTGTTTAGAAGGACACCTTCTCCTCTGCAGATGTTAGACATGACATTTATCTCAAACATACAGAAAATGCTAAGCTGGGATTTTGGCAAAAGCTTAAGTGATTTCCAACTGTTTCTTTAAGCAGACCACTGCCTTATCACCACATGTTTCTGAGGAGCATCATATGGTATATGGCACAGTGGAACATGTAACCATTATCCAAATGTATTTGGATCCCCCAAATTGAGTAAGACGCTATATTAAAAAGCTGGCCCTGCATCATTTTCCTTATAAATATCCAGTTAATTACATTTTATCTTCTTTGAGATTCTGTTGTCTAGCTGCGTTTTTAATCACTACTGGCTTAGATGTGACTTCCATCTTGGCCACGTTTCTGCTCTTTAAAAAGGCAACCAGATACTGTCAGGAGCACCAGAAGTATTAATTCTCTTAAGTGAATACCAATTGTATATTCTGGGCAACTTACAAACATTAAAACTAGTACACAATAAAATAATAACAACAATAAATACCATTAAAATGTGGCGGAGGGGAACACAAAGAACACAGGGAAACATGGGGTATTTATACTGCCTTTATTACTTTATAAGTAATTAAAGGCAGTGAATGCACCTAATACTCCCTTCTCTTTCATTTTCTCCACAACAAAAACCCTGAGATTGGCTGGGCCGAGAGTGACTGGATCAAGGTCACAGCCAGCCTTCAAGCTGAGATGAACTAAAACTCACAGTCTCTTTGGTTTCTAGACCAGTACCTTAGTCACTATACCAAATTGGTTTTTGTGCATTTTCAAGGAAAAAAGCAAATATATGACAATTTCCCAGATTAATTCAACCAATATATAAAAATATAGGAGTTCTGAAAACTTTCCAGTAATATCCTAAAGCCATATATGTTACTATCATTTATATAATCAAAACTAGCAAAGAGCTGATGTGTATTGAATCAGAGTAATAGTAATTTCCTAGCCAAGTGGATCTTGTGTAAAAATAGCTCTCTAAAATCTTGGAATAGATTTCCTTTTCAGTTCTGCTACATAAGTTCCTTTAGCTAAATAATAGGGAATCTGCCATTTCTAGCTGAACAAGCCATAACTTTTATCTTTCAGTGAACAACAGGGGAAATTGGAGTTGTAGTCCAGTAACACCTGGATTTGACATATTCTCCATCTGTTCTCTAACTAAAAACACTGGTTATCAATCTCAAGACCTCCTACTTCAGAAGTGAACAAGCATCAGACTTCATGTGATTTCCACATTTTCATTTTGCACCTTGAGATCAGGCTACCAAAAGTCAGTTGTACATTTTTCATGTTTTCAGGGTGGGGTGGGGTAGGAACAGTTGAAAATGTGTGTGCTAAACCTCTAAGAGACAAAACATATAAATTTACACTGTGTACACCTCTCTACCAAAGGACCTGAATATTTCACCTGATAAACTCACACTGCTACTTGAATGCCCCCCACTGAAAAAGATGCCATTTGTTTAGCCTCTCTATAGATTTCAATCTATAATACATTTACCTAGTCATTCATTTTTATATTTGTGTGTGTTTTGTGTATGTACAATCCAAGATTATAAGGGCCCAGGATAGCTGATTGAAGTTTGTATAAATCCACTTCCTAGTACTTAGGAACAATTTTGAAATTATCACCGTGAAGAGATAGATGAGATTTATATCCCATTTATTCTTATAAAACCCTTGCTCAACAGTGGAGCTTTCTGGATGATCTTGGGAACTTAGTACTCTCTTTCATCCAAATTTTGGGTGATTGAAAAATGCAAGAGGATGCACTCACTACTCTGATCTGCAATGGATTAATTGACTTTTTTGGGTTTGCATGAGGCTTTTTTCAGAGGAGTGTCCTTAGGCTTGGAAGAGGAATTAAACATTGGGCCTGCCCCAGTTTGATCACAAATATTCAAGCAGGAATATTTGGAGCTTCAGCATTTAAAATGTCACCCTTTCTATACATGAAGATTTTTGGCTCCGATTAGATTCACCGCCTCATAGATTTATGTGATCTGAAGAGAATCAGAGTATCCAATCACACTTGGCCAATAAAGAATTCTATTCTATTTATATTACATGGATACGACACTTTTTTTTTTTTAGTCAGACCTGAAACCCGAATGCCAATTATCACGACTATGCCAGTTTTTGGAAGAAAACAATTCATACAGCCATCACTTGGACAGAACTTACCAAATGTGCATTGTGCAAAAAAGAACTTGCTTAAGAAATTCTGAAATTAAGATGAACAACTTTTTAAAAACCCAAAACTGGACCTGCTCTTATACAACAGCCTAGCAGGCACTTAGCATGAAAAATTAATGAAATGGTTCACTAAGCTCAAGCTACTATTAAAGGCAGAGGAGCTGGATCATCAAGAACTTAGTGTTCCTATTTGTCATTCCATCTCTTAATGTGAAATGATGCCTTTTAGACATGCAAATAAAATTACTTGAGCCTAGAGCTTTTGCTAGCCATTTAATACACACACACATGCACAAAGACGTACAATGTAAAAGACTCAGTCAGAGGTTGGAACATCATGGAGCTGTTTCTGTGTACCAGGCGATGTGATGGAGGTGTTTTCCAAAATGCAGTTGGCTTTGTAGGAACATAACAAACTGTAGAACTGACCTGTTTTAGATTGAGAATGTGAACAGTAAGTGCCCACCTCATAATTGCAGAAGCAGTAAGTGGTATGGGAATGGCCACTTGTTTGTGATGGTCCTGAATGCTGCAATGATATTTAGTCACTGTCATATATAATTAGCTTTTTTCATTCAACTTTTGGTATGCAAATACCCATAGCTTCCAGTCATCATTCATCTACTGTAAGCTTTGCACTGTTTGTAGTGGGTTTTTTTTAAAGTACCAGTCTTTTCCTATCCACCCTTATGAGAAGCAAAAATCCTTCTTTCCTACCTTTTCTTTATATTTCTTAACCTTGGCCACTTTAAAATGTATAGATTTCAGCTCCCAGAATTCTGAGTTGAAATCCCCTCATCTTAAAAGTTGCTGGGATTGAGAAACACTGCCTTAAAACGTCCTAATTTCTTTCTGGGAAATTTAGATAAATTTCAACACTTTCCAAGAGCATCTAAGAATTTTCCCATTGATTTAAATAGGCTTTTAGATTTCAGCGCTGAGGGTTATCAGCATGACCTTTGCTGGTGATTAATGTGTTTGACAGGAATAATAGACTAATGTAATAATTAATACCCTTCTGCAAAAATAAATAAATGTGGTTCATTTGGACAACCATTTAAATGAACCACAAAGCTGTGTTCAAAATCATTGAACTGAATAAGCCTTTCATTCCTTCCGTTCCTCAAACCTGCTGCAGTAATTAGAATTATCCTTTTATTTATAGCTATCTATAGCCATTGCTCTTATCTTAGGCACTGAAATTTGCCACCATCCCATTTGGCCATTATTTCAGTGTTCACTGATCTATTGCCTTTCACATGTACTAAACCTTAGTTCCCATTTAAATCATCATCATCACATCAGATAGTTGATATATCCCCACTGAAGCATAGGATAAGTCTAGACTAGCCATTGTCTTTCAATCCCACTGACCTCAAAAGTGGATGTGAGGATGAAATAGGAGAGATGCAGATATCACAGATGGTTTATATAATAAAAATGGACTTGTCGCATACTGCATGGCTCAGGGTGCAAAACATATTAGACTATATAAACTCTGTCTCTTTTCTCTGCTTTCCTAGCGTATTTATTACCTGTCTCTGGAATTCTACATGGGCCGAACGCTTCAGAACACAATGGTGAACCTGGGTCTGCAGAATGCCTGCGATGAAGCTATTTATCAGGTGTGTTCCACCTTTGAGGTTGGACTGGTGCTTTTCAGTTTGTGTACATAAGGAAGCAAGGGGTGCTTATAATATTTTTATGGACAGTTCATAAATGATGTTAAAATTCAGAAAGTCTCAATTTTGTATTTTTTTTAGAAAAGAGTCTTTCCTTCCTAGTTTTTCAGGAAAATATAAAATATAAAAATGTGTTTTCTTTTATAATGTTGCACGTATAATCTTGTGCCATGAGCCTTTAACATAGTGGGGCATGGAAAGCAGCAAACTGACAAAACAGGCTGGGTGAGCATTACATAGATAGTATTTAATTCTACAATATCGCCCTTGAAGATTATATCTAGTTACTAATGTAATGCTATTTTTATGGAAAATAATTTCAATTTCAATAATTTCACAATGAAAGGATGGTCTGTATATAGGAGCCAACATAACAATTCAGCAAATCACATTAAAGGATTAATAACACCAGAGAATCATAGGTGCGTTCTTTTGAAAATTAGGTGAATATGAGTTCCTAAAAAGCTTTCTTCCTCTGGTTCGGTGGGGGGGGTGGGGTAACAGAATAGAAATTAAATTCAGAATCTAAGTTACAGAATGAAACAAAGGAAATTAGCAAATCATTAGTAATCACATTTCTTTAAATTTGGACATAAAATCAGAGCTACAAACTTCTACACTGTGCACACAGCCCAGCTACCATTGCAGATATTTTACTGACATTACTGGGACCTGTTCAATATTTGCTCCTAATGTACTGATTCATAAATTGAAAAAAAAAATGATAAATTTGAACATAATGCCAAGATATTTTTGTATTTTAAACTTCAGATCACATTTCCCTCCCCTTCCCCAAACTCACCAGGTAAACTTTATTTTGTTCAATTTCTTGTTATTCCATCCTTGAAAATCTTGAAGGATTAATCCATAGCCTTTGAGAGTAGAGCATTCTTCCGTACAAACCCTAACTTTTATGTGTTCAAAAGGAATGCCAAGCCATAGCTTATACAATAGTTTATGAGCTGTATGTACCTCAAAATGCAAAGCACCATTTCTCTTTCTCTCTCTTTTTTTTCACTCTAATCACAATAGTCTTTATCTGTTTGATATCTGGATACAAACTATATTAATAAAGAGCCTGATCATTTTTAGAGCCTTGTAAGGTTTCAGTGTAATCCGCCCACAGTACTTCTTTAAATGTTTACTTCTGAATGACTCATGGATTCCAGGCCTTTTGGCAGAGCTGCTAATGTGATTTAGCCTGGACAGTTACCTTGCTATCAAATTCATGAAGATCCAGTTTTTCTTTCTGGGCAAAGAGAAGTTGTTTTGTTTGGAAAGAAATCAAGCTGAGAATGTTCACCATAGAAAATGAAAATCAAGGTACTATCAGCACCCCAAACTATAGACCAGGGCTGTCAAACTGGATTTCTTTGAGGGCCGAATCAGCATTGATTGTAGGCCGGGGATGGGGGTGGGGAGTGAGGTAGGGGAGATGGGACAGACGCCTCCTGCAGCAATTTGCCAACCAAAATGGGATGTGAGGGGGCACATGGGGCCCCTCCATGCCTCATTTTTGGCCTTCCTGGGCTCCAGCAGTACTTTGCTGGCCAAAAATGGGTTGCACAGAGGCCCTGTGAGGCCCCCATGTGGCCCATTTTCGGCCTCCCCAGCCTTCAGCAACACTCTGCTGGCCAAAAACAGGTGGCCCGTTTTGACCAGCAGAAGTACTATTTTAAATAGTTCCAATAAAAATAATGCTAAAAAACCTATTTAGCTTTGAGGGGTGTATTTTTCCAGGAAATGTGTTAGAGGTTGAAAGACTGTGTCCTCTTTTTAGAATCCTATCAGAAAAGGGTCAGAAACTGGAAGTGAGGTGATTATAAGGTATTTCACATAAACAGATATTCCATTCATGCAGTGATGTTAAATTTTTCAATGTTCATAAAAAGCATAGAGATCCAACCTAAATTATAGAATGTATAAATTAACTTTACTCCAAGATCAGAAAGAATCAGAATTGTTCTTCCTTTAACAGAAGGCTAAAATGAAAGAAATTGCAAATTCCAAGTATAAAACTATATACTTGATGGTATTTCCTGTCTTTTGCTTACTCCTCACATTAGCTTGGCCTTGACTTAGAAGAGTTGGAAGAGATTGAGGAAGATGCTGGCCTTGGCAATGGAGGACTGGGGCGTCTGGCAGGTGAGCAGTGACTGTTGATTAGAAGATGCCAGTACATTTCTAAGGAGGAAGACCATTTGTATTGCAATCAGGGATATAAGAGGATTCAGGAAAAAATGAGGAGTGGAGTATAGCACTGATAAAATAGGATGCAGAGTTGAAAAGGCTCTCAGTCAACCAACTGCCTTGTTAAGCATCTTGCTGGGTGGGTGTGAGAAACTGAATTCTGCATTGTCAGACTTTGTCCGCATGGCTGCACTTAGATTGTTCTACATGTAACATGCTATGATGAAATGGAGAGCTGTTTGCAATACTGATACAAAGACCTTTTTATGTAATTTATATATTATTATATTAAAAACTGATATTTTTTTAACCTATTAATAATCTTTACATAACAACTCTGAGACCTGATACTATAATCTTATTGCCTGAATAACATGGGGATTGGGGCTGAGAAAAGGTGCCTTTAGTAAGGCCATTTTGTGAGATCATGGAAGAGCTGAAATAAAAGACCTTTCATGTCTTTAGCTCAATCTCTTAGCCACTATTCCATTCTCATTTGTGGGAGGGGACGACGACGTGGTGTGCAGTCTTCTAAACACAGACACACTGAGTTGCATCAGTAACAGCTGCTTGACTGGGTGTTTATTTCTGTTGGGCAGTAATGTGTGTTGGTTCTTTTCCATGACAGCTTGCTTTCTGGACTCTATGGCAACACTGGGGCTTGCAGCCTATGGCTATGGGATTCGCTATGAATTCGGCATTTTTAATCAAAAGATTGTCAATGGCTGGCAGGTGAGGGAAAGATCATTCCTTACTTCTATCTGTCTTGTCAGGTACTCCTAGTGATAATCAAGCTTGAGAGAGGACTGTGATGGTAGCTAAAGCTTGTCTAAAGCCTTAGGGAAAAACAGCAGGAAAGAATGTCAGTTGCATAAGTCTACTATTTGAGAATCTTTTAATCATAGATACCCAAAATTGAAGCCAAGTCTTATCTGTAGACAAAGGCTATACAGGTAATCCTTTTTTAACAACCACTGACAGTTCAAACTTGTGATGGTGCTGAACAAATGGTACTTATGACTGATCTTTGTACTTGCAATGGTCACAGCATCCTGACCGTCACGTCATTGGGATCCAGGCGCTTGGTAATCAGTTTGCAATTATGCGCTGCCTTTTTCCACAGTTGTGCAATTGCCTTTTGCAATCTTTGTTACCAGCTTCTAACAAACAACATCAGTGTGAGGAAGCTGGCAGGGGCTCACAAACAGTGACATGTGAGATCATGTTTAATGAGGGCACAGGATTTGCTTAATGACGGCAACTGGAAGTGCCAGAACTGCCATTGCCAAGCAGTGTAGTCACACAATGTCATGTTTGTGACCACATCATTTAGCAACAGAAATTCTGATCCCAATTACTGTTATTAAGAAAGTCTATATTTTATTGTCAAGGAGGGGTCCTACCTCAGAAAAAAATGCAGTGCCAAATGAAGCCATTGGAGACTTTTCAAGTGGTTCCTCATTGTGGAGCTGTTTTGGATCACTTCTTTTAATTAAAAAAGCTGAGGTTGCATTAATATATACCCATCACATTACCTCTAAGAATGGAGTAAGTAACTTGTGGGCATCCACTTGTTAGGCTGCAGTGCCTGTGAAGTGGCCATGCTGACTAAAAGTCATAAAATCATTGACTTTGGACAGAGCCACTTAGCTAGTCAAGTCCAGCCTTCAGCTCAGTGCAGGGTTATAGATTCAGCTTGAACACATCCAGTAAAGGTTGACCCATTACTCTGGAAAGTGGGTCTGCTGCCAAACTAATATAAACTGAAATTAACCTGTAGAGGCAGCTGTATGTTGACTCATCCTTACATAGGCCCACAAAACATATTTTACAACTAGCTCTTTAAGTAATTAGCATTGCCAGTTATAAGCACTAGATGCAGCAGCTGATGGCAGCTTGGTAAACACCAGTATCTTAGGTTAGGTATTGTCCATAAGGGCAACTTTGAGAAATCTTGTGGAAAAGCCTGGTGTGCCGCATATTTAACAGATTATCCTAATTGATTACTAGCATCATAAAATGCTACTGTCATGATGCCAGACTTTGAAGCTATATAGGTGAACTAAGGAACCATAATATAATAAAACTAATGCTGGCAGCATCTTCTAAGATTTTAGCCATAAAAAATTAAAATTGTCATAGTTCGTGCACTGATAAATGTATAAGATACTTTCATTATAAGTGAGTTTGTTGGAGATGATGTTATGTACCACCATTTAATTTTTTTTTCATATTCGTTCCTTACAACATAACTCATTTCTACCCGCTACATTGCTACCAACGTGTGCAGTTACTAAAACTTCTCCATTCATTTTTTTCATCTTTTGTAAACTTCTGCCAAGAAACATAAATATTCTTGTTTATATTTTGCCATTTATGCATAACTGGCAATTGTTCATTTCAATTTCCCTGTCAGACATATCTGCTGGAGTCAGATGCGCTGATTTTCAGGTGCATTCTGCTCATCGCATCATAAAATCATCTCTAATGTTTGCTACAAATTATTCAGGTTCTCTGTCAACAACATGGCATACAAAGGTACACAGACACATGTTCCCAACTGATCTACCTCTAACAACACCAGAAGCTTTCCTTTATACTGTACATTTATTCCAAGACATCACTTATCCTTGTCTTAATCCATGTGCAATGTTGAACCATTTGTTAAACTTTGTATCCATTCTCATACATACTTTATTTCTATCACATGCTACTCTTACTGCACTTAGGAAACAACTTTCAACTCTGTATTTGTGCAAAGAATTCCTGCCGTGGTGGTGCAGTGGTTAGAATGTAGTTTTGCAGGCTAATTCTGCAGACTGCCAGTGGTTCGATCCTCACCGGCTCAAGGTTGACTTAGCCTTCCATCCTTCCGAGGTCGGTAAAATGAGAACCCAGATTGTTGGGGGAAATATTGTAAACTGTACATTGCTTACAGTGGGATGTAAAGCACTGTGAAGCAGTATATAAGTCTAAGTGCTATTGCTTTTGCTATTATAAGCAGTTCAGTTAGGTTTATTATACATTCTTAAAATCAAGAAATGCATGATAAACTTTCTGTTTCATAACCATATATATCCCAGTGCATTGATTATGACAATTAAAACAAAGATATATATTTAAAATTAAAGGCTGGAAAAATGAAAAGATCATTATTTGGACCAGAATGACTGCAGTGCTGTATCAAGTGAACATATTTGGGGAGGGTACCCCCACTTTCATTCAGCTGTTAAAAAAGCTCTTGCTCATTAATCACAATTCATTGGCAAAGAAGACAACTGTTTTTGTAAGTCATTTCTCCTTGTTTTAGGTGGAAGAAGCTGATGATTGGCTGCGCTATGGCAATCCTTGGGAAAAAGCCCGCCCGGAATACATGCTTCCTGTACATTTCTATGGTCGAGTAGTTCATACTCCTAATGAAGTTAAATGGGTTGATACTCAGGTACACCTTTTAAAGCTACATATGGAAAACCATTAATTACAAGAACAAAATAGCCAAAACAGATATATTATATGGCAATAGTTTTGGTTTGGAGACTTTGACAATAGAAATGAGTACTTGTCTACCTATCGTCAATGTTACAAGGATAAAATCAGTGTAGAACTTCCCCAGTTTGCTGGATTACAATTCACATAGAAGGGTTGGGTGAGAACAGCCATTTAGTAGGGTAATGATCAGAGGAAGCATCAAAGAAAGCAGAGGTAAGAGCAATAAATGCTGCCTGAATAGCTTTGACAACAGACACTAGGAATGTGTCAATAATGCAGTTTGAATTATTCTAGTTTTTAAGTTGATTTCATTCTAAATTATTTGGAAATCAGACAGTCAGTTTTGAGTAAAATTTAATTGTAGTTGTATATGAATGCTTCCACAAACATTGTATGAATTGATCCAAATCAGATCAATTTCCATGCAATTGATGCAAAGATTTTATTTTATTTGCTCCCATAATCTGGTACCTTCCAGATATGTTGAGAATACCATCTCCATAATCCCTAAGGAGTATAGGCAGCATATAAGAACAAATTAATAAAGCCGCATCTGGGTCTTTAGCTTAAAAAAGAAAAAATTGAGAAAAACCATGTTATGTAGGTAGAAGAACAATGGCCTCAGTCTACTATAAACCACCCTGCAAAGGTGTGTGAAAACACAATGGCACAATAAGGAATGGGAATTGGTTCTAGATTACAAGTCTTTAATTATCCAAATGTTTGGGTAATTCTTCAGTTCTCAAAAGAACAGATTCTGTCATATTTCTGAATGCCATGTCAGTTCTAAAGGCAAATATCTTATAGCACTGTAGAAACAAATGGATTTATTGCAGTATGAGCTTTTGCAAACATTAAAAACCTTCAGAGCAATTTAAAACATGGGGTTCTGTGCTTTCAAACCTTATTTGGACTTGTTATGGCTTCAGCCTCTCTATGTTTTCCACATAGACCCTGGGCCAGAGTGTTCCACATTTGTTGTTTAGCAGCATATAATTGGTTTAAACAGCAGCTCTCCTTGGACATATTGACTAAACGAATGACTAGAGAGACAGGCGAAACTGAAATTTGGTGCCATTTTTCAACTGTTTAGGAATACATGATTTTCCATGGATAGTTGTAATTACTCAATGTTTCATTTTTCATTTGTTAGGAGATACTTGACTAGCTCATAAACTTCCCATGGGTGTTTGGGTGTTTTTAAAATCAAGTCAATTTGGTGCTTGCTGATAGCCTATGCTATCATGAGGTAGATCAGAATTGGACAAAGCAGCTTGCCAAGCTTGTCAGGACTAGATCCCAATTTAAATAGTCTTCCACAATTATTTACTTGTGTATTACGAATAGATTTATGTCACTTGAGTCTAGCAAATCTACCGTCTGTGGCTTAAGTGCATATGAAGAGCCTGGTTGGATCAAGCCAGCAAACCACCATTCTCTATCACATAGATGCCCTTTGATTAAAACATAAGCCTGTTTAAATCAAAACAATATCCTGGAATCATGCCATATTAAAATATAGTTTATTTTATTCTGGCTTAATGTGCTTTGTGATTTTAAACATTTAAGGTTTATTCAATAAAGTAATAAAGCAATATATGGAATAATACCCAATGTTTGGTAACTACAAAGCTGCATTGGGCTTATGACGTATTTTGAAAGTCGTACTCTTAAAAGAGGCTGAGGGCACAAATTTATTTTTTAATTGCATCTTATACTAGTTTTTGTTTTTATTTATTTTTTGTTTATTTATTTTGAATTTATTTATTCTTTATTTTTTATATTTGATGTTATTCCTTTCTATTCTAATATTTGTTCTTAAATTATATGACTAATTTTAGAAGAAATTATGAGGATTACACTAAAAAAAGAAGCTTCCACTTCAAAACTTTTCTACCGATGCAAAAAGCACAGAACTTTTTTGTTTGCTTTCAAACAAATGAAAGAAGCAGCTTGCTTCTTCCTTCCAACCCAGAAAAAGGACGTGTTTTTGTTTTTATAAAATGTAAAGTAGAAGGGACTGTAAAACACAGTCTTGGTCTCATGGCCCACATTAAAGAAAAAAAATTACATTTTTCTCCTCCTGTTTGGAAGGAGCAAAGAAACCTGCAGCCTATAAGCAAGCGAGTAAGTGAACATATCACAGGGAGGCTGGGGAAAAGCAGTGAAATAAGGTCAGTGAAGTTTTGCGTGTGTGTGCGCGCGCGTGCATTTTGTTTGTGCATGCTGGATAGATTGATTGGGCAGAGGGTAGAAAGAGCTGCAAGTGGCGGTTGGAGGAGATGAATAGACTGGAAAGAATCAGGTCTGGTTGGCAGGAAAGGCTGGCTCATGCATGTCAGAAGGAATTTGGGTAGACAAGAAAGAGGACGTTAACAGGGAGAGCTAGATGGAAAAGCACAGGAAAGAAAACGATTGGGCACAACGGAAAGAAGAAAGAGTGGATGACCCAGACAGAGAGGCAAGAGGGCAGCATTTAGGGTAAACAAAGTCTGGTCAAAAGCAGATAGGAAATGCAACTCTAGATGAACAGAGGAGGGCAGAGAATGGGGAAGAGGGATCTGGGGATTGTGTTGTAGCTTACTCTGAACCACACAGGAGTAGCCCTGAGTTAGCGTATTGCATGAACCTAGTGGTGGTTTTGTTCTTGATGTTGTTCTGCTAACAAAGACATTCTTCAGGAGATAATGGAGGCTGTGGGAGAGGAAAGTTAGGGTTGCTAAACTGCCAAGAATCGAGAGAATTACATAATTACGTTCCCTTCCAGCCCCTTCCAAGAACAGTCTTCTCTGAAAGCTTCACTTAATAACATCTGTGACTGAGTGCCAAGTTCCTTTGCAGGTTAAAGAACATCAGATCCTTCTTTGTTCTGTCAAGTGCTTGCCTAGCAAGACCTGCGGAGCCCCAGTGCTGAATTTTTTTAAATGCCAAGTTAAAGAGAGGCGTGAATTATCTTCTTTTCTCCTTTGGTTTTTCTATTGGGAATGCTTTACTATTGAGGATACAAGGGTCTATTTTGCTGTGTAATATCAATGCTTTTTATTTGTCTCATGTTATTATTTGCAATATATTAAGTTAGGCTGTTTAGAATTGTAAATCACATTTTTAAACAAAATGAGCGTGATATACTTGAGTGAACAATTGCAGCGCCCTTTAATTACAGGTTACTATCATTTTGATGTCACTGTGTTAGCCCATCTTTATTTGATCTCTTGCTCCACCTTAGGTTGTTCTTGCCATGCCTTATGATACACCGGTTCCAGGATACAAGAACAATACAGTTAATACTATGAGACTGTGGTCAGCCAAGGCACCCAATGATTTCAACCTTGAAGAGTGTAAGTACTCTTAATAATGATTAAGATCATTATATAAGTGTTTGTTTATTTTATCAGTTTTTTAAATTCAAGTTTGTCCTGTTTGTTCCTTATATTTTGAGCATTAGTGTATAGGCATCTTTTATGGCTGCTCCTGCATTTCCCCGCCTCCCCCGGCCTCCTGTTCTATATCTGAGTTCCCCTTCCTTCTCATCACTACCTACCTAATTGTTTGATTGGTTGTCTTGGGGTTTATGTTTGGGATTGGAACCTAAAGATTGTTTTCCCTCCCCTTCCAATTTTAGTTTAAAGCCCTTTAGAGCCCTTTAGATAAGCCAGGGTCTGCAACCTTAAACACTCAAAGAGCCATTTGACCCATTTCCTACAGAAAAGAAAATACCAGGAGCCAATAATTTAACAACCGATGTTACTGGGTGGGCGTGGCCAACTCAACATCACTCCCTCCCACTCAGTCATCTCCTGCTCTGGAATATGGAGCGAGTCTCCATCCCCCATCATCAACGTTACCTTCTTAGGCCAGGTGAGGAGTGATGGGGAGGGGAGGGGCCAGCCCGTGGTGGGATCAGCTGACAGGGAGCTGCAGCAGAGGGCTGAAAGAGCTGCATGTGGCTCCAGAGCCACAGGTTGCAGACCCTTGAGATAAGCTGAGCCAATTATTTTCCAAACCATTCTTCCCAGCTCTTGTGAGATGCAGCTAATCCCCTTCCAGAAACCCTTCATGTAGGTAATGTAGACCATGATCTGTGAATCCAAAGTTGTCTCAGTGGCATCATCCTTCAAATCAGTAGTTTAAAATTCTCCTAAAATTCTAAAATTCTCCATTCTCTCATTGGATGTTGACCTTATGTTGAAAGTACATCTGTACTCCTACTTCTTTTATTTTCATGCCTAACTGCTCATAATCTCTTGTTATTTCAGGTTCTTTGTCCCCACCTAAAACAGGAGAAAGGGATCATTTGTGGGCTTGATTATGGCTTGATTACTTCCAACTCTGTTATTCTATGTTATTCTATTCAATGTTAAAAGTTTTTCATACAGTTTACAGAGTCAGCATATTGCCCCCCAACAATCTGGGTCCTCATTTTACCCACCTTTGACATTACCTTTTTAGAATCTAAGCATGTAGCAAAGAATGTATACTTTCTAAGTATGTTCAAGGGACATCTAAATAATCCAAATGACACAACCCTCTTCTCTTCAGTATCTGCTATACAAAAGGAAATGTAAATAGAACATATACTTGGAGCCAGTTTATCTATTTCTATTCTTATAGAATAGAATGTATGCATGTATATGCAAAACTATTTTTATCTCAACTGAAGTCATGAGAAAAATCAAAAAGAGAAATCTGGCTCATCAGAGACTCAGAATTCTTTACTCCTTGTCTGATAAAAATCCGCTTCCCAAATCTGTTATCCACAAAAGAAGGGAATCTGGTTATTGCCACTAAAAGTAGCTTCTTTTCTACAGCAGAGTGGTTTGGAGGGAGATAATTTAAAAGGGGCAGTGAAGGCAAAAGTGTAAAATTCCAGTCACCAAGGGCCAAACTTCTACTCCTAGTCCTACTTAAGAAACAAAAATTACATGACCAGTAAATTTACAAAATACAAAATACAAACATTTGACAGCTGGTGTTCCTTTTCTTTTCTTTTTCCTGAGAACACATCATAGTAAATAAACACAATGAAGAAAGCTTCTTTAACCTCTAAAACCAAGCCCCATTAATTACCTGATATACTGAAAACCGAGACGGTCTTTTGCACATCTCCTTAGAAATGTATATCCATTATTTTTTCCAAAATAATAAAGATGGTGAAATCCAATTCCAGAGTAAAACTCTTGAGAGCTAGACAGGCAGTTAGGCAAGGAATCCATACATTTATTTCACATTTAAAATGAATTCAACTTGGAATTTTTTCCTGTTGAATTTGTAAACAGAATATGAGTTACAAGTTGAAACTTTTGAAAACTTCAGTGAACAAAGGTAAAGGGTAAGGAAATGTTATGAAATGACTGCTGTGTCGTGATAAACATGTATAGCTCTTGGAGTATTCCATTTCATTGATGTAACTACTCTGAGCTTTATCTTCATTCTCCTTCATAGTTAATGTTGGTGATTATATCCAAGCTGTGTTGGATAGAAACCTAGCAGAAAACATATCCAGAGTGTTGTATCCCAATGATAATGTAAGTATCTGCTGCATTGTGCAGTGTAAGTACAGTTTAAATGCTTTGTTAAATCTTTTTTAGTGGATTGCGGATTGTGGATTTGGCTGCTTTTCTGCTGACTGTCTTAGAAAAAACTATTTGTTTGTGTGTTTTGAGTGTGATCCTCCAGTTTCCACTTCTCCGATGAACTTCTCACCATTTTCATAAAACAACTCCTGATGGGAAGGAGAAATGCAGAAGCCATAATAGGAGACTAAAATTTATGAAAATTATGTGAAAGGCACAAGTGATGTTTGGCTTGCATTCATTAATTTTCCTTAGTTCCATCTTCCTGCATTCTGTTCTCTGTTCTGAATAAATCTCTGTTCAGGAGCAGCACAATACTCATACCACTCCGTAGCAAACTTTTCCTCTGCTCAGACTTTTACATTTACTGCACTATATCCAAGTCAACTCCACTGGGTATACAATACAGGGAGAATTAAGCGTCCTTAAAGTCCCATTTATTTTCAGAAGAAATTAAGAGTTTCCATGTTCTTGGGATCAGTGCTGATCCACAAATGTGAATGTGAATGTTTGTAAAAACTTATTAAAAGAAGGCTGCCTTTTATATAGAATATGGACCTGAGATAGGAAAACTACTGAGGATTAAACCTGATTAGCAAAGTCCATCTCATCTCTTTCTTTCGCTGTGGAAAAGAGCTTGATTTTTACAATCCCTCAGATCATTTCCATTATTAGCCTGCTTTCTTTTGGTATCTTCATAATGCTGCTTCTGACATAGACTAATATAACCTCCTTTCCCCTCTGTGTTGCTAAGTTTTTTGAAGGAAAGGAATTGCGTCTGAAACAGGAGTACTTTGTGGTAGCTGCCACTCTCCAGGACATCATACGACGATTCAAGTCTTCCAAATTTGGATGCCGTGACCCAGTGAGGACCTGTTTTGAAACCTTCCCCGACAAGGTGAACGTTTCACATAAGGACTTGTACAAATCTTGAAATAAATCATTTTAATTTTAAAGAATACCTTTATCTCTCTTTCAGACAATGTTTGGTAGTCTTTTGATCTTAAGAAAAGTAAAACCAAAATGTTGCTTAACACTAGAATCTCCTGAAGTCCTGTTGGGCTGATCTTTACAGTACTATTAGTGGCATGCATAGAATTATGCCATTATTTTTGTTTTTGTTGTTATTTAATACCATGATGTTTACATCATTTAGTGACAACAAATCTTTAATAAATTTTATATTAGCAAATGCTTTCAGAATTTTTTATGGATTTAATCAGATTTTATAAATTTTACCAATCATCTTTGTCTAGAACCTTGTAAGTTGGATATCCTGAATAATGATGGGTTTCTGAAACTGCTTGCAATACAGTATCAAATTCACAAAACAAATTCAGCAATAAGCACCAGAAAATTGGATGACATATTTTACCAATTTTAATTTTCATCTTCTTCCAATTTGCATATTTTTTCTTTTCAAAAGAAAATTGTGCATGCCATTTTTATTATGTTATTATTTTCTCCTGCTGTGACAGCTTGGAAATAATAGTTAAGATCTTTAGAAAAGTGAACTGATATGGTTGCACAAGAATAGAAAAAAAGGAGAAACTGGGAGTCTGGCAGATTATGTTCTTGGAATGAATGAACACTTGAAAAAAACTTTCTAGGTAGCAGCCCAAATATGCTATTCTTTAGCATATTTTCTGGGTTTTTTTTACTTTTAATGATTAAAAGTTTATTTTTTTAAACTTGATTAAATATCAAGTTCAAGACATGGTTACTGGCCAGATTATGTATGACTAAACCCTGTAGTTCCTCCAGAGTCCTTAATTTTTTTTTCCCCTTTATATTTAGGAATTGAGCTGGTCTGGGGTCACCAAGTTGCCATCAACATAAAATGAAATCAGATTTTCCATTGTGTTCCATGGACTCATTGGGCTTTTTCTGGATGGAAATAATAGAGATTTTCATATTAAAGTTTATATTATCCATTTTACAGGTTGCCATTCAGCTAAATGACACTCACCCTGCTCTCTCCATTCCTGAGCTCATAAGGATCTTTGTTGATGTTGAACATATGGATTGGGATAAGGTAAGAGTTGAGTGGGAGGCAGGAAAGACACAATATTTGATCCCCAACAAGTTTTTTTCAGAAACTACCAAGAGATTCTCCTTCTTCAACTTGATTTCCCCCAGATATCACGGGATTGCATTTTCTAGAATTTCTAGCCAGGATGGTGAAAAGCTAGTTTCTTAAAGTTAATGATGACACAACAGTAATTGGTTTCATTTGAGAGGATGATAAATTTGCATGAAGACAGGACGTTGAACAATTGATCCTGTAGTACAGCTGGAACAATCTGGAGTGAACATGCTTGAAACTGTAAAGATGAGAGTGGATTTTAGGAAGAGGTCTCCTATTCTACCATCTCTTACTATATTAGACAATGCAGTATCAACAGTAGAGACCTTCAAGTTTCTGGGTTCTATAATCTCCCAGAATTTGAAATGGACACCTAACATTAGAACCATCATTTAAAAGGAACAACGAAGAATATTCTTCCTGTGTCAGCTCCAAAAATACAGTCTGCCCCAGGAGCTATTAATACAGTTCTACAGAGGAATTATTGAGCCTGTCATTTGTGCTTCTACAGCTGTCTGGTTTGGTGCCGCAACCAAACAGAACAAGCCCAGATTTCAGCTGAAAGTTAGGAATGCAGAAAAATATAATTACAACCAGCCTGCCTTCAATTGAGGACCTGAATATTGCATGGGTCACAAGGAGGACTGAGAAAATATCTACGGACCTCTCACATTCTGGACATAAACTGTTCAACCTCTCCCCTTGGGTTGCCTCCACAGGGCATTGCATACCAAAACAACTAGACACAGAGACAGGTTTTGATTCTGTATACGATGACTACCATACTCCTATGATACTTCAGGCTCTTTACTTAGCTCTAGAACCATCGTCAATGGAATTTCAGTTTCATTAATGTGTGGCTTTTTCATTAATAATGAGGCTGCAACCGATAAGTTACAGCTCAGCATCAGGGTAATCTCCATGGCAAGTATCAGAAATTAATGCCATTTGAAGTTACAACCATTTATTTTCAGCCCATAGAATTTGCTTCTAATCAGATTAATTCATTTGTGTCTTTGGTTCTAGGCCTGGGAAATCACAAAACGAACCTGTGCATACACTAATCATACAGTGCTGCCTGAGGCCCTAGAGCGCTGGCCGGTGTCTATGTTTGAGAAGCTCCTGCCAAGGCACCTGGAGATCATTTATGCTATCAACCAAAAACATTTGGATGTAAGTCATCTAAATCAGAAAAAAAAGGACTTGGGAGAGGCAGAGAGAGGATACCAGAAGTTGGCAATTAATATACTCTCATGATCTCACACAGTGGTCCAGAGAAAGGAAGGGAAGGCTCAAGATATTGCAAGTCTTAGTGCTCTCATAAGATTTCACTAACCTCATGTGAAGACAAGAAAATCCTCAAAGAATTTGGCAATTTTAAAGTTTATTTTTTTCATTTTGTGTGGTTTTGAACATTATTTTGCAGGTAAACGCTTAATGTATGTGACCCTACATTGCTAGCATCAGATGAAGCTCAGTGAGACATCTAATGGCTAATGATTTGTCATTTGTAGTTGAATGATAACGTGTACATCAGACATAGCAGTTTTATTGAATTTGTTTAGCTATCTTTTTTATGCCATGTTGAACATTCTCTGGCGATCTTGCTGCATAGCAAAGAGCCAGTATTCAGCTCTAGCAAGTGGATAGAATAATAGCATGGGTAGAATCAGTCATATTTAGGCTTCAGATTATTGTGGTCTTGCTACAATCAGTAAAACAACATCAGTCATCCACCTGCTATCTACATATTTCTTGTGTTACAGTGTCCACAATTCACTACTGCTGGGAAGCAGCAGTCTACATAGTCTTGCTAAAACTATCAGGCTTAGAAGCTGATGAGTTGACCATGTAAATATATTTAAGGATATCTTTGTTAGTATGGCCTAGCTAGCATGTCTTTTTCAGTGTCATTGATATCATCCTTGAATAGATCTTGATGTCTTTTGTTAGAAGGTACAGTATTCAAATTCTGCATTTGCAATAGTTCAAGAGTGCGAAATGGTGGTGTCAAAACTCTGATTGAACTGGTTTCTCTGGGGGATGGTGATATTCTTTTTTAAAAATGTAAAATAGTTTTACCTCTCCTGAACTTTGGAGGATTTGTTCATGTTTTTCAGTTTAAATGAATTCATTGTGAGATATGATTTAGCTTGTTGTCCTAACATTCCCATTATTTTGTACATTCTATCAGCATGTGGCTTCCCTCTTTCCTGGAGATGTTGACCGCCTCCGAAGGATGTCTATAATTGAGGAAGGAGATTGCAAGAGGATCAATATGGCCCACCTGTGTGTCATTGGTTCTCATGCAGTCAATGGAGTGGCTCAGATTCACTCTGAGATTGTGAAGAATTCTGTGTGAGTCCTGCTTGTTTCTCTTTTACTTAGTTATAAGTAAGATGTCTATCCTGGTGTTCTTCATAGACTTGTCACTGATCTAAGAAGCAGTCATTGGCTTTTCTTCTCATACATATCTGCTGTCTTATAAATATTGATTTATTTTTTATTAAAATAAATGATTTTATTCATTTTACACAGAAAACAGAAGTGCTTAGTAGTGAGAGGACAAAATATACACGTTGAGATTTAACAAATTATGAATGAATGAATGGCTAGTTTGTGTTTCCTGAATTTGCATTTCGGGTACAAATTTACATAATAGAAGATTCCCCACACATAGAAAGCTAACAAGTCTAGAAACTGGATTTAATATAGTCCTTCCCTGTTATTCTTAAGTATATGCAGCTTGAATTATTTTAGTCTAGACAGCGTTCCCCATTTTTTGAGACATGGAATTTTAAAAGGATGTTAAAGTTCATCTCACCCTTCCTTTTGCTATGTACATCGAACATGTCTGCTTCATCCAATGGTTATCATGTCTGATCTTAAACTTCTTGTTTCCATCACCTGCAACTTTTTACTTATAACCTGTTTCCCAGATATTTCTTCATCTTGATACATTTCCTAGGCATAATCCATTTTCAGCGGCAGATAATCATCAACTATATTAGATTACAATCTAGTAACTCCCAGATGGTTTGCATTTCAATTTCTATCAATCAGTGCTCTGTTGAAAAGTATTTTGGGAGTTTTAGTCCTGAGCATCTGAAGATATTAAATTGCTTTCACTTTATCAGTGTTCTTCAAACAGAACAGAAGTACTTTGGTATATGTGGAACAGAGCAGAATTAGGACTGCTCAAGATCTGGATTACGCTTTTCATAAATCTATCCTATGACTGTATTCTCTTTTTTAAAGGAGCTGCTAAAGAGTTAATGATGCCAACTGGCACCAAATAATGTATATGACATTGTTCCTTTTAAAACTACAGTATCTCACTCATATACATTGTAGATTCAAAGATTTCTACGAAATAGAGCCAGAAAAATTTCAAAACAAAACCAATGGTATCACTCCAAGGCGATGGCTTCTGCTGTGTAACCCAGGACTCTCTGAAGTTATTGTGGAGGTAAGATACAAGACATATCCGACAATAGGAAATGCTTGTAGAAATACTTGGTTAGGTTTGAGCTAGAGTCTGATGAAGCGCCTTCAAAAAGAGGGGGGAAAGAAGAGACAAACTATCTGGTCCCTTACCTGGGATGATTCTAGAATACTGCATAACAATATGGTGACTGACAAAAGTATGATTTTGAATCTATAAACAATTGTAGATAGATAGTCTGCATTCAGATTTGCAGAAAGTCATGTTCAACTTTCAATCAGGTAGACTATATGTCAACTTCTCCTTACTTAAGATTTCCTTTGAAACATAAAATTTAAGCAGAGTGCCTGCTTAAATTCAGGCTATGTTGGCTGATCATGAAAATAACTATAATTAATATTATTATTATGAGTATATATTCACCTTAATATTAGAAAAAGTCAGCTAGTTAGCTTTGTTACTCCAAATATTGGCAAATGCCTTCTGCCAAATAGACTTCTCCAAATACTGCATTTGCCAGTGGATCCTCTTAGTTGAGCCACATCAGATGGATATTTATTTGACATCAAAGGAGAAGCAGTTTTATACCAAGGCAGATGTTGCTTTTTTCTTTTTCTCTCTCTCCATTTTTGCAGAATCATCTTGTATTATTCCCAGTATCCATTTCAGTGGTTAGTCCTAAACAAGCTTATTCATTGTCAACAAGACCTATAAGAGTGAACCAGTTTTCATCTCAATATCAAAACATTGCTACTTATCTGACTGTTAGCAATGGGAAATGAACATAGTAATAGAAGCATTCAGCTGTGAAAAATATCAGTTCTATTAATTATAATTTTTATTTTCTTAATATACAGAGAATTGGAGAAGATTTCCTCACTGATCTTAACCAGCTAAAGAAGCTGCTGGATTTTGTCGATGATGAAGCCTTTATTAGGGATGTAGCTAAGGTTAAACAGGTAATAATTGCAACACACACATTTCTCTATCTATCATCTGTATGTCAGTCTCTGCCTGCCTGCCTGCCTGCCAGCCAACCACCCAGCCAGCCGTATCTTATCTATCTATCTATCTATCTATCTATCTATCTATCTATCTATCTATCT